GCAGTTCTCATTACCATTCAGCATCATTAGAGCAAGAGCCTTATCTTGCAAAGGCTCGCGTAGACGCCTGACTTAATGGCACGTGCGTAGTATTTTAGGAGATACCCAAAGCACTTTGGTAATGAGGCATCTGCAATGCCAGCGGCTTCTGGGGTGGAGAGCACCTCTCGCTCACTAGCAGCAAGTGGCATAACTTTGGCATTATTGAACATTTCAGGGTTTCTCTTAGATCTAGACTGTGCCCAAGAGGTTTGAGCCAGTGTTGCCCAAAGAAAAACCTTTACTTCCTCAAAGCTAATGCAGACACAGCGTCAAATTCTAGCTCCGTTAGCATCAATGGCAAATCTCCCATTGGCTTCAGTGGGGATAGGATCATAGTTTGGAGCACTGAGCCGTACCCAGCAGCCAAGCTCAATTAACACTACATGGTTTAGAAATCCCCTGTCGTGTGGGCAGGAACGTCCCCGAACGCGCATCCATGCTTTGTACACCTTTGGAGCTCCTGACATCTGCACTAATGAGATGGTTTCTTCCCTTAGCAATCTCTATTGGTGAAAAGCACCCCACTTTGCCAAGGTTTTTAGATCAAACTAGTCATTTTCTGAGCTATTATAAGGCCAGTGTGTGGGGAAAATGTCTTAGCAGTGAAGCCCACTTCAGTTCTTGACCCGTCACATTTCACAAACACCTTCTCCAATTTGCTTCGAACTCCATCGGAAAATGTTACGTGGGCATGAGATTGTGTTTGTGTGATTTTTCAGGTGGATCGGGTTTAGTTTCAGCAAAGTTAGGTCGAGTTAGGATAAAACCTGCAGTGGAAAGCTGGCTTCCACCTTGACCAGGGACCCACTAGTGAGCAAGTTCAGAGGAGTTTCAGCAACAATATGCAGGTGACCAACTTCAAGCGTGCATGGTGGTGTTATACTCGGCAATACACCCTGACCTGCCCGCTTTGGGGCTGGCTAGCAATAAGAGTCTGCATCCTTGGGCTGGCTTCAAGTTACACTCAACATATTCGCCAGCTATTCCAGCTCTTCAAATGTGTGCACTTAATTATCATCAGGCTCCATGGAGGAAGAGCCCCCAAAGTCCAAGTAAGTGCTGATAAAGCTCCGTACCTTGATAATGCATCATGTATGCATCCCCGGCCCTGTGTTCAGTAATTGGTTCCCTATGCAGCAGCCCGCTCGCCAAAAATGAAATAGCTCCATGTGTTTTACAGCCAGGCATGTGGAGAGGCATTGCCTTTCACTACAGTTGAAGAGGTAAGCTTTGTCACGCTGAGATTTTCATCGTTCAAGTCAGTGGGGGGCACGGTGTAAAAGGTGTGGAGATTGGGGCTTTTTTAGCGAAACCCCACCTCTATCAAAGAGCATGCTGTATGCTGGAATAAGCTAGAGATCTGCTTCAGGAGAGACTCGGTGTTGGAGCCGTTTTGCACCTTGATGTAAATCAGAGCAGCTCAAAGGCTGCTCAGATTTGTACCTGGATGTCCCTGTCCGATGGGGCTGGGAAAAAGCCCCCTTCTCCCAGCCACGTCCCCGAAGACTGGGCATAGCCTAGAGCTTGTTTCAGCCCTGCACTGAGCCAGGGATTCCCCGCTGTGCTGAGGGATTTCCCAACTAACTGGTCAAACTGGCTTCACCGCCTCTCGCGCCAGCCAGCCAGCGCAGTAGCACAAAGGGGCTGCAGGTATTGAAGCACGCAAGGGCGAGGCGCTGTTGCAACATGCTGCTTTCGCCTGCTGCCGGTCGGGGCGTACGCAGACGCCTTCCAGGTGAGCACGGGCACAGCAAGGAGGCTGGCTCTGCAGCTCTGCCCGGTGCTCCCTCCGCCCGCATCTGTCCTCCCCACGAGGACATGCATCTTGTCACTTCCCCTTCACATGCGAGCCGCTGCTTTGCCCTTCCTGAGCTGTTGCCAAGTACCAGTCGGGCATCCTTGCCCTCTGCCACGCTGTTTGTTTTCTCTGGTCCGGTGGTGATGCTCTCAGCTGGATGCCCCACGTGCTGACGTGTTGGCAGCCCATCGGGCGGCCCACCCGACTGTCCACCCCGTCGGGACGTGCTCGTGGCTGCCACAACCCAGCACTTGCGTGGCCTCGCTGTTTGCTTATTAATTTGGTTCTGCAGCAGGGAAACTCCATTTTGACCTAATGATCGATGCCCATGAAGGATCTCTCCCATTCTCATCTTTGAATGGCATTGCCAACATATGCTGCCCCCTTCCCCATGTACAGTCTTGCTCGCAGGTTCACGGTTTATCCCGCTTGGACAGCGCCCTGCACCTGGCGAGTGATCTGTTGGAGGGGGTGGACTCTGCAAAGTGCCTGGTGCCTCTGAAATCCACGGCAATCCCTTTACAAATCCATCGTTGGAGCGCAGCAAGAGCTGTAGCACTGGCATTGCCTTTACTGTATACTGTGTTTGGGACTGCTGGGGGAGGCTGTTCTGCTCTTTCTTGCTCCTCTATCTTCATGCACCTCTCCCTAGATGCCAAACATTGTCATCGTGCCATAGGGATACAAGGACGCTGGGTTTATAAAAGATAATCATAGCTGCAGCATGGTAGGGGGAGGTTGCCAGATGTTGCTGCTGTGTGTCCAAGGAAAATCCCCAGCTGGTTCTTTGTGCGGTGATGATTAGCTGGGACACAGGATGTGGTCAAAGCTGCTCGGCAGAGGTTGGCAAAATTGGCCGAGGGGCTGGGAGCGACGGCTATGCCACGTGGCGCTGTTCCTGCTGTCTGTCAGAAGTTGCTTACACATCACGTGGTGCCGTACGGCGCCTGCTGTGGTCTCCCAGAAGTGGTTGTTGGGGAAATGACTGATGCGACAGTCATGGGGGACAAGCAGCAGCTCACGGCTCAGGCTAGGAAAGATCCACGTGCAGCTGAAATGTCACTAGTAGTGACAAAAACGAGGAAAGGAAGGATGAAAGCGATGGGGGAAGTAGAAGGCAAGACCCCTAAACAGGTAGTCCAGGATGGGGGGGTTCATCCAGTTGTCAGCACGACCATTCCCAACACTTTGGACAAAACAGTCTGTCTCCTGCCTCTCCAAGTCACGAGAGGGGCTGGAAAACCTGAACACTTAAAAATTAAAAATGCAGTGCCATTTTCCTTCTTGCCTTCTAGTCCTTTGGAGCTGTTCAAGGGCACGTTTTCTTTTTGTAGCCTTTTCCTACCAGCCTTAGCTCCAGAAGCTTGAACTAGCGGCCGAGAGCATCATTTCTTAACAAGACGTCTTTCTGCCCCTGTGGCTTGAGGAAAAGCACCCGGTATCACAAGACTCATGATGCAATTGCAAGACCTGGCAATGCTGTAGTGGCAGCGTTCCCACTGGCTCCATTCACAGTTGGGTTAGGAAAATTTTAGCCTGTCTTTGCTGTTTTCTTCGAGACGTTAAGGGCCAAAGTCCAGAGCAATGCTGTGATTTTTGACAGCTTCAATCCAGATTTAAGTCAGGGTTCCTGACAGCAGAATTTGGCCTGAAAGTTTGTCAGACGCCGTGTCATGCTAGAGAGATGCTGAGCTCTGCATGAAATTTATGCAAAACCTTAATTAAAAAAAGAAAAAGCCAAGTGGTTTATTTGCAATGGGCTTTGTACATTAATTTGCAAAGCCGTAAATTCCTGGCGATTGCGTAAGGGGGTGGGTGGGTGGGTGTGTGTCGTGTTTTAAATCACGCTGATGCCGCTGAGCTCTTGCAGCTTTGTGTGCGCAGAAAGATTGGCTGAAAAAAAAGGGTAAAGATGAGAAGGAGAACATGCCAGGGTAAACACTCTGCAGTTGATTTGGGGCGAAATATATTTCGGTGGAAATAACTTGTGGGGAATGTGTCCTCCTGGGACTGCAACACAAGCGTTTACCGCTGCCAGCTCCCCAGCCAATCCAGGGAGAGGCTGGGAAGGGACTAGCGAGGGCGTGAGATGCCTTCGGGTTTTGTTCCAAAGAGCGTGTTGAGCTGACTCGATGCTCGCTCCAGCCAGCCGGCTGCAGGGATCTGCTGGATTCTGGTCTGTTTGCTATCGCCTCCGTCTGTCTAATGCAATGGGCTCAGTTCACCCATCCTGTGGTTCTAGGATAAGAAATCCCTGTGGGGATCCAGGCTAGTTCAAGCAAGCAGTTGGGTTTGGCATAATACATGGAAGAGGCCTGGAATCCCATCTCCAAGCTTGGCAGATCTACAGGAGGTGAAGACTGTCTTCTCTAGCTTTTGGCACCAGCAGACTCTGCCTGGCTCTGTGGGAGCACAACTCCCCTCAGGGCTCAAAGCTGGGAGCTTTGCTGAATTGCACCATCGTGTTACCTTTTAGGGGATTGTTCCACGAAGGTCTCAGGACTATTGCATGGTGGTGGTCTTGCACCAGGACTAATGCACGGTGGTGGTCTTGTGCCTCAGCCTCGTGGCAAGTGTGAATTACCTAGCAGTCACCATTTGATTACAGTGCAGCGCATTGCCTTCTTCTGGAGTGTGTGTGTGCATGCTTGCACATATGCATGTACATGCACACACACCATTGCTCTCCTCTGTTTGAGAGTACAGCGGGTTTGCTCAAGGGTTGGGGCAGCACTTTCTCCCAGGAGCTGCATCATACCCGTGCTACTACCCACCTTTCTGAGTGGAGCATGAGCACATTGCTGCAGCTGCTCCAGCATGCCAGTACAGGACAGAAGGTCTGAGGCTGATGCCTAAGCAACAAGAACATTTTCTAGGGGTGGCCTCATTTCCTAATCTGATGGGTAGAGGGAAAGAAGCGGGGCCCAAGTCTTGAAAAATGGTCAGTGATTTGAAAGCACAGGTGTCTTACAGGCAGCATCCGGCCAGGGCCATGGTTTGGCAGGGCGGGTACCAGGCTCTTTCTGGAGAATCCTGACGGTGCCTCACGTGGAGGTATCTCAACCCTGATCTCAAGCCAGGTGCTGGCCTCCCGCCTGCCGCGTCTGTGGTAGAAAACTGGCATTCTTGACTAACCGTCTCCTCTTGTTTCCACCCCCAGGCCTCTCTGCAGATGGTGGTGCCAAGCGCCAGGAGCATCTCTCTCGCTTCTCAATGCCTGACCTAAGCAAGGACTCTGGGATGAATGTCTCGGAGAAGCTCAGCAACATGGGCACGCTCAACTCCTCAGTGCAGTTTCGAAGCGCCGAATCCGTCCGCAGCCTCCTGTCCATGCAGCAGTACCAAGACATGGAGCCCAACCTGCACGGCCTCGCCAACCCCCTCGGCTACAGGGAGAGGCCGCCACAGGGCAGGTTGCACCAGAGCTTCGAGTACGACAGCAGGATGTCGGGGAACCCCGTGCCCGGGCAGGACGGTGCGAGGCACCCCCCAATGAGTGAGCACACACGTCGGCGGACTAATCAGCGGGATGACGACCGGCGCTGCCGCCCCCACAAGCCCCGGCGGTCCCGGCGGTCCCGCTCGGACAACGCCCTGCACCTGGCGAGTGAGCAGTGCTGCCGGTTGAAAGAGCGGCCGTCGCTGCGGGCCCGAGAGGACTATGACCAATTCGTGGCCCAGAGGAGCTGCAGAGAGGCCATGGAGCAGGGCTCCCGCCGGGATGTGTATGGCCAGTGCCCAAGGACTGTGTCGGACCTTGCCCTACAGAACCACCTCGGAGAGCGCTGGGGGCCCTATTTTGCCGAATACGACTGGTGTTCCACCTGCTCCTCTTCCTCGGAGTCGGACAACGAAGGCTACTTCCTCGGGGAGCCGATTCCCCAGCCCACTCGTCTCCGGTACGTCACCAGCGAGGGGCTCCTCCACAAGTACGGCTCGTACAGCATGCCCAAGTCTTCCACGCTGGGCAGCAGGGGACAGTTGCACAGCCGGAAGAGGCAAAAGAGCAAAAACTGTATCATATCCTAACAGCGTGGCGGCCTGGGAGCCTGCCGAGAATGTAGATTCACTCCCAAACTTGCACTGTCCTAGATCTTATAAGCGCTTTTTATTGTAACAGAAAGGCCTGAAGACCGGGGATTTATAAGAAGGTTGTAGCCTGGCTTCTATAAATAGTCCTATTCGTTGGCACAAGTGAATATATTTTGCACATTTTACTTTGGGGGAAAAAAAAAACATTCACTTTAGTCTGTACTAGTTACCTAGTATTTTCCCGCTCCCTCCTGAATCCTGTCCCTTGCCTTTTAGTCCATACATTTTAATTACCACTGTTTACTATAATCAGCAGTTTGCTACTAGCTTGTGCTTTCCTAAATGCGCTCTTGTTTTCGTCACCCATTTTGGTAAGTAATTTGCCTCTCAGACCGGATGGGAGACTAAGTTATTTCCATGATTGTTGTAAATGCAATGTATATGAGAGTTTGGAGAAAATATTTTTGTATTTTGTAATATCAGAGGAATTTCTATATCTTAGGAGTCACTGGGAAACTGCATGCACGTTCAGAACTGTGTTCGGCCCGAGCTAAACGAATGGTACTTTCGAATCCCTTTTCCTTTCTCCAGGAGGTTCATTAAGTATGTCAGTGAGAGTCTGGGTTTCTTTTTTTAAAGTCTTTTTGTTCCTGGTAAATATAAAGAACAATTTCTGATTCAGTCAATCTTGAAAGGGCCTAGGTGGCATTTTGCAGTCTGCACACACCCGTGATATTCAGGTCCTCTCTCTCTCTCTTTCTCTCTCTCTCTTTCTCTCTCTGTCAGATACAGGAGTCTTTACAATGGCCAGAGTGACTTTTGTCAAATAGGAGAGAATAAACTACCAAATGTCTGCAAAGTTTAAACAACCAAAGTTGGAGAAGGAATTTGACATCTCTGTAGAGGAGTTGCTAAACTTTGAACTATTCTTTGAAGTAAATAAAAGTGTAAATGGTGCAATTGTGTGATGTCAGCATGACGTTGTTTTGAGTATAGAATTGTCTTATGGTGCTCTAGTTTCCTGGATTATGTTAACTGCTCTTCATTACCAAGTGAAATCTTCAACACTGCCTACTACCTAAAATGTAACTAAACAAATGCAAACTAATCACAGCGGGCTTCGTCCTGCCCCGGGGGCGCGCTCCACTTGTGAGGTCCGTTGGCCTGCGAAGGGCATACCCCCGGGGCGGGATCGAGCCCATTGTTTGGAGCTAGGACAAACCACCAAAAGCATCAACATGGTAAAGTGTTATATAAATAGGACTCAAGTGTATTGTGTTATGGTGGACGTGAGTTTTTCTCTATATGCTTTAAAACCATTGAGGTACAGACATCGAGGCGTGTCCCACTGCGTTCCCCCGTGGGACAAGGAAGGAGGCAGATGTTCTGTAGGACTGTAGGATGTATACAGTTTCTTTCACTGGTTCCCAGCGAGGCCGACTCACAGCCTTTGGTACTGTATGTAGGAGGGTCTCAAGGCCACACCTGTCTCCCATTGAAGTCGATGGCAAAATTCCCATAGATGTCAGTGGTGGAAGGAGCCGATTTACAAAGAGACTTGGGTATCTAAAGATGCAGGTAAGCAGGTGACTTGCAAACACACCTAAGCGTTCGCTCGTTAGGACTCTTAACCCGCTTAGCAACTTTGGTAGAGCTCATTAAGCAGCCTCACTACATCTTTAGATGCCTACAGACCTTTATACTTCTAGTCCCTGTATTTGGATCCACTTGGGCAAGCCCCTGATGCCTTTGTAGATCCAGTCGTGGAACTGGGCCGTACATTTGCACTCTTTATAACGGTTCGGGAACAAACTGTTGCCTGTCAAAAGCAGCAGAGGTGGGAAATCTTGGCGAGAGATGTCTCCATGCCATAAACTATTGCTAGGAATTTTTCGTTGTTTGTACGGACAATGTGATGATGATTCTTTTTTTTTTTTAAAGAGGAAAAAAAAAAAAAAGAAACAAGAGTACGTATAAAATCATGTTTTTTTTTTCCAGTTGGAATAAATGGAAATATTGATCCAAAAGGGAAAGACTTGTGTGTGGGTGTGTACGCGTCTTTCTTTTTTTTTTTAAAGAAATGGCTGTTTAGGTGCGAAGTTGAAAGAGTCCTTCTTTATTTTTATTTATTAAACCCAGGAAAGAACTAACATCCACGCGCGGCTTGATTTTTTTTCCTGCT